GGAAGACCCCACAGTGACACAGGGAGAACATGCAAACTCCACACACATGGAGCCAGGGAGAGGACTCAAACCCTGGTCCCAGGGGAAGGAATCAACAGTGCCTACCACTGCACCACCGTGCCACTTAAATGAGTCTGAATTTAATTCCGATATTTTCTGTCATAATAAATCAGAATAATGAAAGAAAATTACTGTTAGTACCACCCAACTAAGAAGTATGGGGACGTCAACATAAATTACTCTATGTAAAGTCACACTATAGTAATTAGGTTAATATCTGCTTATGTTGTCACTTTTCAGTATATCAGAATCATTTTCTGTACAACAAACACTTTATTGTTCATAGTGCTGATTGGGAACAATATTATGCAACGCAACTATATTAAGAGTCAAAAACTTTGGCAGAAGTTCAGGTAAAGTATTTATTAAATCTGTCAGTATTAGCATTCACTTTGATGCTTTTTGAAGAATATTCTAAGGTTGTGTATACAATTTAAATTTATTCTAAGGTGATGCAATTCATGCAGATCTAGTTAGCAGGAAAGTTCAAAGTTATGAAGTTAGAGGAACTGATTATACAAGTTCATTAGTGTATACACTAATGACACTCACCAATGAGAATCACCAGTTCACTTAAACAGCATGCTCTTTAATTGTGAAAGTGGAAATGTCTAGAGAATTACCCCATGTAAACTGGGAAAAAAAACATGCAAGTAACAGGCATACTTGTTGTAGGGTACTGCTAGAGATTTAGGGGCCCACCACAGACCAATCCAATTATGCTCCAAATTTTTTAGGGCCTCTGTCAGTCAGGGGCCCTTGGAATCATCCTAACTTGCCCCTGTGTGGGATGATCTTATCTGTTGCATGGGCATGTATGTACATTACCTTCATAACATTGCGTGGCTGTTCTGAGCCATGACTCAAAATGTATGTTGTGAAATGCAGCTTTACTCACTATTCATACAAAAACACTAACATGTTTTTTTTCCCCCTCTCATATCCTATAGTGAGAGGAAGGTTCGGTGGTCTGAGTACAGGATCAGCACTCCTGGAGTATTCTTTGGGGAGTCAAGGACCTTGCCCAAGGGCCCAACAGAGACACTACTCTGCTGAGAATGGGATTTGAACCTGCAACCTTCTAGACACAAGCACAGAGGCCTAACCTGCTGAACCATAAGTGATATTAAGGAAGAAAAATGCAACATATTCAAGTGACACATCAGAACTTGTGATAAAACATTTTCACAACTATTTTTTATATCAAGTAACACTTCTGACTGCACTGTTCAGTTCATTGCTTATTATAGAATGGTTATAGAAATATGACATTCGAACACAGATATGTCAGCTCCAGAGGCTAGTGTCTTATGCAGATTACCTCCAAAGCTAATACTTGTGGTCCCCTTTTGGAGGAAATAGCGATGCAAAGTATCCAGCTCATTTGTGTGTAGTATCTGATTACTCTGTTACCGCTAACATTTAAATTGTAGTTGCATGTTGCTGCTTTGTCTGATTCCTAACAAGCATTCAATTTTGGCATGATCCAGCTGTCCAGCTGTACTCTAATTATACCTGCAAGGTGATATAAAGGGGTATACAAGGGATGCAAATGATACCCGCAAGTCTCATTGAAGGTGCCATAAAATGTATACACGGATTAAGAACTCGGGGCTGAATGTGATTAAGAGTGAGTATGCAATTAAAAGACATGTTTATAAAAATGAAAAAAAGCATAGCGTAGCAACTATGCATTTGATTTTGGAACCAATGTTGAATTGCTCAGGATAAATGGAAAAACAACGAAGCAGAGAGATAGTAAGAGCGAGAGATATGGCCCCAAAGCAAGTGATTTTCCGAAACCCTACATTTGATCTTTATAGCTTACTAATGCAGACATCATCAGAAAACTGCCTTGCTATTTATCTGCTGTACATTAAGCCATGGGCAATTATTACATCCAGTACTTTGCTAATGACACGGGATCTGATGTAGTGTAAATCTTGTTTAAACAGGTTTTAACCTTGCCTAGTTATAAATTAGAAAGATCATAACAGGAACAGCAGCAAGGACTGGCAAAAGCAGGAATCCGTCACTGCTTTCTGAACAGGGGATAGTGAAGGCTTGAGAATTGTTCCTGTGTGGTTTGAAGAATGAATTATTTCTCGGTATGTCATGCCTGGAAATGGAGCCCCATCTATGTATTTACATCGCGGTGTACGAACATAAAGAGAGCCTGCAGGACTGGGCTGATACGTCTGTTCACATAACAAAGATACAACTAACAAAAGCCTCTCAGAAGGACAAAACACATGTTGGAAACCTGACCAACAAGTCCATTATTAGTTAGGTAACAAGATATACTGGAGGTGAATTTATTAGAGAATGGGGATCCTGCTCTCTGTTATCCCTGGACTGGGAGCAGTTGGTGTTTCAGAGGGTTTTACTCAGAGAGGACTCGACAGTTGGAAAAATACTCAGCAGTAAGTTTTGACACCTGACAGTAGTATTCAAATGATTATTAGTGATGTTTGTAATCGCTCTGATAGTAAATGCGTTCTCCAAAGTTGTAATTACGTTTGTATTCACTTTTTATTAGAGAATAAAATAACTATTAATTTTTAATTTTGCACCAGCTGCTTTGTAAAGAGAAACCCCAACTATCTCCAATTAAGCACAATGACCTGCTGGAACAAACCATAGCATGTTGGTTAAAGAAGGACATTTCTGGCATAGTATTTTTAGCAAAAGTAACCGAATACGTGATATCAGTCATTCAAGAGAAATAATTCAGACTGTAAACTAAGGGATTAGGGGACAAAACAATAAAAATATTAAAGACTTCTTAACTGGTAGATTCAATATTTGGAGAAAGGGTTTTCCAACACCCTGCAGAGTAGTAATTTTTATGCTCCAGCTAAGATTACTCTGACTGTTCTTTGTGGGTTCCTGCTACAAGAAAAGGTAGTAAGGATTCAGGTTGTAACAGTGATATTGGATTTTAAGTTTGAAAAATTGAACCAAAACAAAGACAGGAATCTCACTATAAATCCATTAATTCATTCACATTATTATGAGGTATGTTCATTCGGAGGGAGAAATCCTGAGGAACTTGTTATCTTGTTTGGTCCAAAGTGGACAACCCAGATCCAAAACCAGTAACATACTGCACTAACAATACATGCCATAATATTCTAGTAAAGTTGTGCATATATGTATAGGGGAATTTAGACAGAAAAGGGGTTACGGTACTCAGGTATCCATCATCTTCATCAGGAAAATTGATAAATATAATACAATAGCACATTTACATAAGTAATAGAACTGTAAGCATACATTCTAAATCTAGTATATAGGAGTAGCTTAATCTAAGCTCTGATACACGTTTATTTGCTTGGTGTTGATGGCAATGTGCGGTTCAGTGGGTTTGGCGACAGATTCAAATCCTGAGGGTGCAGTTATGTCAGTATTGGCCTCCTCAGTAGGGCCCTTGACTACCCCCCCCCCCCCAACAGCTCCTCATACACCTGTTAAAAGTTGGTATGCTTCACATAAAGGTGTTCTTAAAGGCATTCTTATTAACCACTTACAGGCAAAAGACACAATCAAAAGCGAAGAGGCATGAAAGAGCATTCATGGTACATGTATGGTTTTACAATACTCATTGATTGACCGTGCCAATGATATGAACGTTTTAAATACATAACGTGACACTTCTAATATAATATTAATAATAATGTATAACTTTCACAAAATGCCATCCATTGTAAATTCTTCGGAGTCCATGTTATGTGTTAGAAAATTGTTTGGTCAAATATTTGAACAAGTGGAATATGGTTTTCTATGCTGTGAAATGTTTAAAGAGGCTATTCTATGTCATTCTTACATATACTTCAAGGTACACATAGGTTATATATATATATATATATATATATATATATATATATAATGTTAAAAACCTGTTTTAAAGAGTAAATCTACCACTGCGCAATTTATTAAGATAGTATGCAGACTTCAGAGATAGCAGGTTAACTCAATTGTAACTCAAAAATAATGGGATTTTAATGCGGTGAATATGTAATTAAAGGTTAGCAACATACAAGACAAGTGGATTGCATTGTCATGAATTTTAAGCAGAGATTGATTTTTCTTTTTTTACACTACAGCATTCTCTGAAGGGCAATTTTAAGGAATTCCTGGCAAACTAACAAAGAAAGTGGAGTATACCCTCACTGCTTCCACTTTAGAAAAACGTATGGTATAAAAACTTTAAAATCTTAACTTCATTGTATATTACGTCATATATACCCATAGTATTTATATAACACACAACACTTAATCTTCATTTTCCCCAACCAGTTCTATTTAATAATGTTCAGTGAATTAATGTGACACTGACGTTGCCTAAACGTCCACGAAGTCCACATTTCAAGGTGTTACTTGTTATGTTTGCGCAAGAGATAAAACGACAAAACATTTCTGCTACCCTAATTATTCTCACCTTTAATTCTGAGCACTTTGACCTACTTTATATCACTTCGCGGCAGACCGCCGCATAAAATAAATTGTTTGTAGATAACGATTAACTGACAACTCAGCTTTGTGTGTTCATCATCTTGTCCTCTCTAAACATCTGCAAATAATCTCCATGTCGGTGCATTTACTATGCTTTGACAGGAATGTCTCTAGGTGGATTTTTGTTTAGTTTTGGAGATTAGGATATGTTTATGTTAACTCTTTAAAGCCGCGTCCTCTGCAACCTTGGAATAAGCAACAGAATTAGCAGTTCCTATGGACTTTCTAGTCACGCCACATGCGAATATGGGCACCATACTGTATATAACGCAGTCCGCCATACAAATAACAAGAAGGTTTACAAATTAAACTACGTTTAAATACATTATGTACAAATACTCGTGCATACACATGTTATACAGCACGTGTTTTTTTTTTTGCGTGGCCGTGTGTCGTAATATTACTGCTTTCAGTAAGATCATAGAAACTTTGCTGCTGTCCCTGTCATAAGGAGCCCCGGCTTGGCGGTGCTCTCGCCCTCCGCTGCGGCGTTTCAGCGCAGGACCGGCACCGTGTAGGATGGCTTTTATTTATCCGTATCGTCTGGCCACCTTTCCTCTTTGTTTAGCTTGATTTACTCTGAACTTGCTTATTTACGGGAAGCGGCCCGCAGTCCCCGTCGCAGGCGCCGTCCTCTGGCTCCTCCTTCTCCGTACCTTGTGACAACAACAACTCGCCGGGCGAGCGAGGCGCACTTTTCGCCTCTATTTCTTTCCTGTCATTCTCTCTCAATCTTTGATCAATGTGCGGCCACAGAGAGCGCAGATCCCACACATCCCAGGCTTTGCACGATCCCTTCCGATTGTTAAACTAAAGCTCCACAAAGTTCTAGATCTACGGGATTTCTCGTTTCGACTACTTCGGGACACTTTTGGTGCGCTGGGGTTTTATACTTTGAACTTATTCTCATAGGTGACCATGGCCGTACCGGCTTCTTTGATTCCTGCGACCCCTCTGGTCCATCCACCTCCTATATCAACTTCTTCGGCTACCAGCACCTCGCCATCGGCGACCTCCACCCCGTCTCCGTCCATAGCCCCCTCTGGACCGAACCTATTCCGATCGGAGCTGATCGCAACCAGCAGCCCGGGCATCCCACCCGGCACCTTGCCCAGCAAGCCCGTCTACTCGACCCCGTCTCCAGTCGAAAATACCCCGCAAAACAACGAGTGCAAGATGGTAGAGCTGAGGGGAGCCAAGGTTGCATCGTTTACGGTAGACGGCTGCGAGCTGATATGCCTCCCCCAGGCTTTCGACCTCTTTCTGAAGCACTTGGTCGGGGGGCTGCACACGGTGTACACCAAGCTGAAGAGGCTGGAGATCACGCCGGTGGTGTGCAATGTGGAGCAGGTCCGCATCCTGCGGGGACTCGGGGCCATTCAGCCGGGAGTCAATCGCTGCAAACTCATCTCCAGGAAGGACTTCGAAACTCTCTATAACGACTGCACCAATGCCAGGTGAGTGATAAAACACGGCGGTCATCGACATTTAATACATATAAAGATCTAGTTTTAGTCACGCAGAAACTGGACTGCCAGAACGCTTCAGATATAAAATTACAACTCACGGTAAGCACGACACCAGTATAGCACTGCAGCATGTAAAATATAATAATAATACTAAGTTTTATTTCGCCTTAGCATCTTGTTCTGGGGCAATCTACTGCTAAAATATTAACGTTGATTATTTTAATACCACACTTTATTGGTTGGGGCGCGTAAATGACAGCTGAGAGGGTAATCAGCTCAGTAGATAAGGACAAATTAAGCCCTGTTCCCGTTTTGTGAAGCGTACAAAGACAACGTTGTTACAACTAAGTTACGTGGCTTTATTCGCTACCATGCAATCTGCAACTCTGCGCTGGTCAAGCAAACCGGGGACGGTCCCTGTCCTTGTCCCTGTCCCTGTCAGCATCCCTTAAAACTGCGAATTGTGAAACAGAGGCACCATGTAGTATAAAACGTACTGTAGCCGATCCCTTATTAATCGTGAGAGACGAAGTTCACCAGAAAGTAAGGCGGATGCGGACCCCGTCCGGCGATCGGCCAGCCTGCACGCCTTGCACAGCTCCCCGGCCAGTATTCCCAGTCATAAAACCATGCAAAAGCCAAATTAGACGCTTCCATACGTTAGTGAATTCCTTTTATTTGACAAAGGTAAACGAATTAGAAGCAAAAGTTATCCCTTTAACTGATTTCATAACGAATATCCATGTTTACGTTATTTTTAGGTGTTTTTTTCTTGCTCAAGTCTATATCTAGGGTAGCAGGTGGACTGAGAGCGGTAACGAGGCTAAGAATAAAATCTCTATATTAGTTTTAATATTAGCGGTATAAGTGTGTGTGCGCATGTTAGACAGTACTTAAACTTTTTTTACCACGTGATTTTAGTCAGTATAGGTGTACAGTGGCTCTCAGTCTTAGTGCTGGGCCTGCTTGAACGCCACTTGATGTTTAGTTATTATTTACACTCACCAGATCATTTATTATTGGATAATTTCTCCCCTGTTCTGCCTTGTGTTCAAAATCGACAGTATATTATTGCGTTAAGGGTTGTTTGTGGTAAACATGTGCACCAGAAATGCCTTTTCATCTGTTGATGTCTGTTATTTTTACATTTCGTCATTATTGATACTTTTGCATCATGTTACACAACTTACTAAACACTTTTCACTCAGTGTAATGTCACTTTGTGCACTCTTTTCCACCACAAATGAGGATGCTCCCAGATTTGTAAATTTGATCTCAGTGCAGGATTGTAATGGTGTTTGAAGACTTTTTTTTTCCAAGAATAGGGTTTAATTTGGTGCAGATAATGAACAATTAATTTGGATGTATGGAAATTCTGTAACAAGCAAAGACAACTATGACATTACTGAATGCTTTGATAGACTGGTTTTGATATCACAATGTAAACTGATACAATAAAGGTTATCAGGTTAACTGATTAAAAGTTTCTTTCAAAATAACTGATGTTAAAGTTACACGTGTTTCTGTTTGTATATTGATATGTTTGCACAAACGACTTGCTGTATTTAAGGCACTATTAATAAAAAGTAAGTTTTATTAATTAATTCCTTTTTCCTAATGATATTGCTTCTTTAATGAACCCACTAGATAGTACTGCTATATCATACAGCATATCTGTGTGGGCTTGTACAGAAGTAATTTAGTTTGTCAACCATTACAACAACAGTAGCAAAGCTTGAATTACTTCTGCATAGATCATACAGACCTAATAAAGCAAATGTGGAAACTTAATTTTTCATTAGCTTTTCTGCAGTTTTGTTAGTAATTATCATTACTTTAGCACATGAGCATATAATATATACTTCTTAGTGAGTTATAGTGCTTTGTATTCTTTTTGTATACTGAATGGTAGTCTGATGCAAAAATTAACATATGTTTGTGAAGTCACATCATTTATTGGAAGCAAATGATATTCGCTGATGCCTCATTGTACAGTACTTCACATGCAACAAACCAGCATTTTGCAAGTGAAAACCTGGACTGTACTTATGCTGTGTGCATTTCCATGGTTATAAATCTGCATTTTATAATGTTTAGATAGGGATGTATTATACTGTTTAGTATATTTTATATGTTTAGTATTTTTAGTATTTTTTCTTGCAGTTTGATTACAATTGCTTTTTATGAAACCAGCAACCACAAGTACTAAGATGGAATGATTTACGATATTGTCTAGACTATGATAGGTTGGGCAATATATATTAAAACATAAATAAAAATAAAATCTTAAAAATGTAAACTGCTATACTGCATGACTACGTTAACAGAATTGTTGAGACACACGATACATAGAATAAGATTCCATAATAAGAACACATAGTATGTTTTTATTGATTACGCTGTGATTTTGTAACAGATTGTTTGCTTTAAGTTTCCAAACAGATAAAAACAGGAAGAAAATGGGATTGCTCATTAAAATGTGTCTTTTGAAATGCATAACTAGGTCTTCCATATGCTTTTCAAGTGCACACGTAATACATGCATGTAAATGTATGCTTTATTCTTCATATTAAAGTATTACAACCTGATTATTAGATGTGCCTAAGTGCATTGCAGTTGTTCTGAGTTCACAGCAGTACCTTTTACACAGTGATTTCACCACTGTGGTTTATCTTAATAAAAAGACAATAATGAATAGCCCACACAGGAATCTGTGCAGTGTAGACCATGTTATCTCTGAGAGCAATTCTCCATGCCATTTTTCAGAGGGATTCCAGGTGAGAGACTATTGGGCTTGAACATCGGGGTAGTAAGTACGATTGGCTGTTGAAAGGGTTAAAGGATAATGCCACGCTTCACGTTGGTTTAATGACAGTGTAGTGCTCCGCTATTACTGGTGCACAGGGAGGCCTGTAATTGTCTTGGAAAGCACCTGGTTCTGGTGATGCTATACTGAAATGAATCACTTTCGTTAGGGCTGTTTTGCCTGTGGAAGATTACGCTACTTGTAATGCGAGCGCAACCACTGGACGTTAAACTTAAATGGAAACCAGGTTTCGTTTGTCCTTTAATTTTTTAATCATTTTATAATTGAGAATAAATTGTTAATGGGTATAGAATATAAGTTTGATGATTTTCTCACCTTTTTTGTGCATTTTGGCTGCATCTTTGCAACTGCCATTTCATAAAGTACATAAGAAATATTAAGTTTTATCACTAGAAAAGCTTTGTAGAATATTTTTTTTAGCTTTATCACTAGAAAGGCTTTGTATAGTATTTTTCTCAGATCATAAGTTTACCATGAAGAGGATCAAATGCTTTTACACAAAAGTAATACAATATTGCCAAGAGATATCATAAAACAACTATTGATTTAATTATCCTATGGTATTTTTAATGCATTTTTACTAACACTTGGGACAATACTCACACTCGTGTGCTTTTCTGGGCAGTGGACTGTGAACTCTTACCTCTGCTTCGCCCTGCACAGGGGCTACTCGCATGAGATTAATGTGTACCTTCAGCTCAGTAACAGATCCACGGCAGTAATCGTTTGGCTTCCACAGGAGTTATGGCGCTGCCTTATGAGAAACCATACCTCAGCCCTTGTTTTCCTTTTCATTTTCTTCTTGTGGGACAGAGACATTTTCACTGCTTTGTGGCACTTAAACTCTAAAGGAAGGTCATTAAAAGTCCAGGTCAGGCCAGAAATATGGTTGGGGTTCAGTTTTTTGGTCCATGCTGAGAGATGACCTTAGACCTCGCACTGCAGTCAGCGAATAACATTGCAGGGTTTTCAGAAACCTTAGTTGTATGTTTTTGTATTATTTTAATAGTTTTTATCATAAATTATTGTATGATATATAATTATATGCGCACATATAAATATCTATAAAGACACAAATGATGCGAATAATGACAATTTATATCTATGTTAAAATTCAAAGAAATAGATTTTTTAAACAACAATGTGGTTGCATTTTGGTAAGTACTGTATGCAGAATGTTTGTGGAAGTCAAAAGAGTCAGATACACCTATTTCTTTGTTTTTTTTTCTCTCTCTTTCGCTGTGTTGTTATGCTGTATTTGTTTTCTACAAGGGATGGATGTGTTTACAGGTACTCAAGGGAAATCTCTCAATTGGATTCAAATCTTTTCCAGTCAGAGTGGGTGCTAAGATACTCGTCACCCGGCAACCACATCCAAGAGGGAGCCGGGGTGATAATAACTTCAAAAAACAGAGTGACAGATGCCTGATTAGGATGAAAGAGAGAGAGGGAGAATGCATGAAAAATTAGGCTTGTTAAAATAAGAAATCCATTCAAGCACCTTCACACAAATTAAACAAACACTCCACTCTCGAATCCCATGATCTGTAGTATTCCCATTTATTGGTCCAAATGGGGATTCGTTTAAAACCATAAATGCGATTTTTACACTAATTAACAGCCAAAGGAGCTCTGCTTTGGAATGGCAATAACCACCTGCGTCCAGTACACCAGTGCATTTGACATATGCTGGTGAATATTTTCTGAGGACACGTATGTTGTAATTGAAAATAATAATGTTTTCAAAGGCACGATGTTACTATGAGACAGATTGAAAATCATCCTTTTCATAAATATTGCACTGAAATCAGTGGAAGAGTGCTCTACTAATACTAGAGTGAATAATCTAGATTTTCGATGTATAGATATTTGTTAGCACTGAGAAAACACTTGCATCCTGGTTATGCCTGTTATGTGCAGAAACTATTCACGCCTTCATCCTATTTGCATATTGTTAAAGGTTGAAGGAACTAAAATTGAGAACAACGTCTGTGTTGTTTTGCTTTATTTACAATTAACATTAAGCAAACACACAAAATGCATCAGTCTCTTTGAGTTATGCTCATTTGATGAAACTATTATAAAATAAATATTTCAAACACTGAATTAGGTTCCCCTGTCTGAATTACTTGCTCACCTTTCGCTTCCGCAGTGTTGTCCC